CTGGTTCAACCTTAGTTCAGACTTCTCTGGGTATCGTAGAATCATAGAATGGCCTGGGTTGAAAAGGACCTCAAGGATCATCTAGTTTCAACCTGCCTGCCATGAGCAGGGTCAACAACCACCAGACCAGGCTGCCCAGAGCTACAACCAGCCTGGCCTTGAATGTCAGTAGCTCAGGCCTTGCATACATCTGGGCTCGGTTTTTATTCCTGCTTCTCATAACTATCATATATAGGAGAAGATGAGAATTGTCATCATGGCTTTTGGTGCTGTCTTAGCTGTTAGGTTAATACTTGAGCTGGGAGCACACAGATATCAGAACAGTCCTCACATGATGGCAATTTGGATGTGCTACTTATTTGAGCAGAATTTGGCAAACTGAATAAGAAATGAAAAGTTTCTTCGTTCCCTTCGTTCCTTCACTTCTCCTCTCCTGCTTCAGTGTTACCTTTAGGAAGTGTGTGCAACTCAGTATTTCCCACTAGTAGTGCAGTGCAGGTTTTGTATGTAAGAAACAGAAAGAACATGTTTTTTCCCACACATCTATTTTCCCAAGGAAGGAGGGGCAGCACTGGAAGAGGTTACCCAGAAAGCTTAAGTAGTCTCTATCCCCAAGGGTTTTCAGGTCTTGGCTTAGAGAAATCATGGCTGACCTGGTGCAATGTTGGCGATAGCTGAGAGCTCACTGAGTGACCTCCAGCACACCCTTCTAAGCAACGTATCTGTGATTCTAAGTCAGAATACATAAATGAGCTACTGACATTTAGTGGAAAAAATGATCGGCTCACAGAGTCCTCACAAAGCTCCTGTTGTCTGAAGTTCCTTCCAACCAAAGCCATCCTATGATTCTGTGATTCTCTGTCTTAGAAACTAATGGGAATGTAAAAGAATCCATTCTCAGACATACTGTTGGAGAATCATAGAGTGGTTTCGGTTGGAAGGCACCTTTTAGATCATCTAGTTCCATCCCCCTGCCATAGGCAGGAACATCTCCCACTAAAGCAGGTTGCTCACAGCCCCATCCAGCCTGGCCTTGAATGCCTCAAGGGAGAGGACATTAACAACCTCACTGGGCAACCTGTTGCAGTGTCTCACCACCCTCTCAGTAAAGAATTTCTTCCTAATATCTAGTCTAAATTTACTCTCCTTCCTGTAGGCCCCGTACTGGTCTGAAGATTCCCAGCTCTCAGCCTGTCTTCGTAGAGGAGCAGCTTCAGCCCTCCGATCATCTTCGTGGCTCCTCCTCTGGACCTGCTTCAACAACTCCACATCCTGCTTGTGTTGGGGGACCTAGAATTGGATGCAGTACTCCAATTGGAGTACTCTGCTCATGAGAGCAGAGTAGAGGGGCAGAATCACTTCCCTCGACCTGCTACATTTAAGAACAATGAGTGTGGTCACCAGGACAGCTCCTTGTAATCCAAAGGCCTGAAGATACTTCCTTTGCTGGTCTCAGTCCCTGCCTTGGTAATGTTAGTAGTGCTTATCTTTTAGACTGTGGAAACACCACCTGAAGCCTTTATTCTCCAGATTAGCTGACACTACATCAAAAATGCGGTACTATATCCATTAACTATAGTCTGAGTTTGGGTGTGGCAATATCTGTTTTCCAGCAAAGACTTGACTGTACCGATGCTGTTACATCACAGGTGAAAATGCTCTAGGATGACTATGGAAATCCTTTGATTTTTGTATAAATGGTTGTGGGACTCTCCTCAACATCAGCATCCTGATGAGAGCAAACACTGTAACTGGATTGTATGTGTAATTTAGGTCATAGGTGCAGCCCATTGAAAAACCCCTTTCTGGAAGGAGCCAATGAGAACAAGCATCAACTGCCTTGTGCAAATTTTTTGCAATCTGCTATTGTGTGAGCAGTTGGTAAGGCTGAAATCAGCATGAAGGAGCATCATGTTCTGCTCCTGTCGCAGTTTCCCACCTGGGTGCCAGGCACCTCCCTCTTCTGGGGAATCCTGTGCTTGATCTCCATCTCATAAACTTCAGAGCTCGCAATGGGATCCTGTGTGAAACAGCTGTGTGGACTCACGGCAGCTATCATTTTCCATTTCTCTGACACCGTGTACAGTTTCAGTGTAGAAAGCTGGGAGCGTAGTGTTGCAAGGTGGTGGCCAGGTTTTGCAAACAAAGGAAATGGAGGACTCTGTGCCACCTGCTCTGTCATTTGAACAAATGTTAGGAACCAAACCAGCTACAAACCGCTAGCTGTGTTTGTTGAATGGGAACTCTATGCAGCAGCAATTCCATCCATCATCAAGGTCAGTTTTTTTTGCTTTTGTTTCTCAAGCTAACCAGTGCCTCAGTCCCACGCTCCTATAGGCAAGATGGTAAAGCAGCCAAGGATGTTAACTGCTCAGTGCCCTGACAGAGCACAGCACTGCGGAGCTGCACATTCCTGTTGGGGATGGCCTGGGGTGTCCAGCTTTGACTACGTTTAACAGCATGGCACAACACCTCTGCAGGGATTGGCAGGCAATCCTGTTTGCTTATTGACTTGGACTGAAAGCGTTGGAGTCAGCAACGTTGGGAAAGCGCTGTCAATGACTGCAAACCAGGCAGAGCCCTTCGTGTCCGTAAATGAGGAAAAAAACCTTTCTTCTCACTTTTTTGTGATTATTTTGAGGGACAGCACTTTTTCTATAATCACTGATTGTGGAAATGATGAATGCCCCTCTGTTCCTCACCATAGTCGGTCTTGAGTGTGAGGCTGAGTGGGAAAAGGAACGGTCTTGGCAAACAGCTTTTTAGTCTCCAATAAATTATTCAGAACGCAGGTTTGGGCACAGATTGTGGGGAACGATAATGGAGCTGGTTTTCAGAGCCTGTTCATGTTATGAAGACATGGAGTATGCTTTTCAGGAATTCACTTAAGTGGAATCAGCTTTGCATAACGTAGCCTGGAAGTAATATTGCTGCCATCCAGCTAGTGTCTGCGGAACAGCATTCTCCTGCCTCGCAAAGCACTGGTGTTGAAGACAAGAGATAGGGAGATATTTATTTTTGTGTTTTTTTTTTTTTTTTTTTTTTTCTTTTAAAGGGAAATTCTTTCTAACCGCTAGAGAGGGACATGTTTCGGTCGAGATTTTTCCCCCCCCGAGTGAAATAGTGGACCGCATCAGCATCCGATTTGGGTGCGTCATGTGGTTTCTCATGTGATGCTGGTCTCGCTGCGCTTTGGAGGGTGAGCCTTTGTGACTCCACTCTTGGACAGTAACATCCAGCAACACAGGAGATTTTGGGGAGGAGGGGGGAAAGATACCCCCCTAGGAAAACCCCTAAAGCCCAGAAAATAAAGTTACAGCCCTTTATTATAGTCATAATTTCTTCTTAACTATTTTGGCTTCTATTTTTAATTCCGGGTCTTCCCTCTTCTCCGTTCCTGCAGGCACGAAGCTGCACTGTTCAGAAGAAGCAAGATTCTTTCCTCACAGCTACGGCACTGCGACACAGCCTGCTTTTTCGCATTTACCTGGGTGGCTGCTGCTGGTTCTGCTGCTGCTGCAGCCTCGCTGCCTGCACTTCACCCCAGCTTGGCTGATGCGAGTCTCCCTCGTCTGCGCATCGCTAAGGAAGAGAAGCGATGGAGCCGCAATTTTTCTGTTGGTTCTGGAAGCAAAGGGTTGTGATGCGGGGTGGTTTGGGGGTTTTCTTTTTTTTTTTTGGTGGGGAGAAAAAGGAGGGATGTTAATCTAGGGTGGAATGGGTAAAAGCTTAAAGAAATATGATGAAAAGTAATCCAGTGCTCAACAAGGGCATCTGCAGCAAGAATCCAGCCTCTGCTGCTCCAGAGGATTAAGATGGGGAAAGCCACAGAGCTGCAGTCGAGTTGCACCTCAGCGTTGTGCTGGAGATGGATAAACAAGGTATTGGTCGTATCTGCCTGCTAAGGCAAAGCCACGGGAGGAAGAGCGAGCGAGAGAGTGCGTGCAAATGCAGTGGAAGAAGAAACGCTGCGTGCTGTTTGTCTGATTCTGTGCATTCTCAATGTGGAGAGGATGGCGTGATTAAGAAAGCAATGTATGGATGGAGGCACTGTGAATTGTAGCTCGAACACTCCTGATGCTGTCAGGGAGGGAACTGATGAGCTAGGTGGCTGCAGCAATATCCCCAGGGAAAACAGCGGCCATGCTGTGTATGTATGTGCTTATATATGTGTGTGTGCTTATGCGTGTGGGAGCATGTACAGGCATGAAAGAAAGACATTTCTGACCAATTTACAGAGGAAGCTTGTCACTTTGACGGTCAGACTTGATTGCAGCTTGTATTTTCATCTCTAGCTCTACGCCCAATTCCTGAGTTAGGAGGCACTTTGTGAATGCAGATGTAGAATTCTTCTAAGAAATGTGAAAGCAGATCCTTTCCATTTAACACCTTGGAGCACTGAATCTTCTGCACTGTGTTGAGAGAAGCTAAGGGGAGGGGGTCATTTTCTTAAAATCTTTATAAACACAGCTATATTCAGTGTGGCAAAAAATTCTATGCTGTAATAGAAATGTGATCAATCTAATCAAAATAAATGCATCCCAGATGACTTCTAGACCAGCTGGCTACCACAGTCATCAGATGGCTAAATGCTCAACTGAGCATTTATAGTCAGCATTATATTTCTTTTTTTTTTTTTTTATTTAGAATTTTAAAATCAGCCTCTGATTAAAAATAATTATTTTTCTATTGAAAATAGACAGCAGCTAGCAGCAGATTTTTCGGAAATGTACCTGTTTATTTTTTGCTATTGTAATTTGATTGGCTTGGGCTCTTTTTGTTTATCTGTTTGGTTGATATTTCTTTGCATGCATTGAGGAGACTGTGTTTTTAGAACAGGGAGACTTGTCACAGTGCTTGGCATACTGAGATCAGCTGGCAGCTCAGGTTGCCCATATCTGAACAATGCAGAAATAGGGAAAACAAGTACTGCAGTCAGCTAGTGGGGCTTGGCATGGCTTTTAGCAGCTGCCTACTGAGAAAGAGGGTTTTTTTTTTCCTTTTTTTTTTTTTTTTTTCCCTTTTCTACAAATCCGTAGACCATAATGTCGTCCTAAAATGCATACGAGGGGATTTCCCAATAGTCATGGTGAGCTACCCTGCAAGATGCCTGTCTGGCCCTTCCACTGTTACCCTGTCTACAAAGGCTGCCCTGTGTGTTGGATTATATTTAGCCAGCTGCTGGGTAACATTCTTGTGCTGGGGGCAAAGGAGTCTTATTACTCCCATACTGTAGTTTTGTGTTTTCTTAAAGAAAAACAACCTTGGCAATACAGGAGGCTCTGAAAAGAAGCGTATACCACTCCTGCACCTTTCTGAAACTGCTGTGCTTCTAACTCAGGCTGTTTTAAAGCAAACGAGCAGGAGGAAGAGCGGCTTTTAGCTCATTGCTTCAAAGCTGCAAAATGTCAGCAGCTTGTAATTAGGAGCCCGTGGTTACGTCAGGGACTGCATCTCTCCAAGAATAGCTGTGTGATGTGTGCCACAAAGCAAAGGAAGGCAGTCATAACCTGGTTCTTGAGCCTGCTTCGAACAAGAAAGCAAAATGGATTAACGAATCGGTTGCATTCGTAAATCAGAGCTGGATGGATTACATGTATGAGACTGGCTGCACTCTGCAGAAGCGAAGACTGAATTCTCAGTTTGTCAGAGGGCACACGTTCACCGGGTGGAAGTGCGAATCCTTCGGAAGAAATGCAGACAAGCCATCTGTCCTAGAAAATGTCATTCCTGTCTCCATCTTGCACAGGCAGCTGCATGCCACGAGGCATGGGAGGGAGCGACCGGCCAGCCGCACCGAGGTGTTTAAAAGCACGCGTAAAATTAAACACAAAGCCAGCACACCAAAACTCAGCTCTGGCGTTGCAGATTTGATGCTGAAATACCACCCCAGTGCAGACCTACTGCGGTCAGGTGTGGTTTCTATTAAAGCTTCTCTGGCTAAGGGATGGTGCAAAAAAAAAAGGCTTAGCGCAACATCTTGCAACCAAACGTGGTCCTGTTGGTGCACTGGGAATGCAGCAGCTTGGGGCTGCCTGCTCTGCAGGGACACGCCTGGAGCTTTCTGACCCCTGCTGTTGTTTTTCGATCTGGGCTGGCGGCTCTGCAGCACTTAAGCGGTGAGATTGCAGGGGTGCTTACCCTGCTCTGACCGGCCTTTCCCCGTGCTGTGGTTGGAGATGTTTACACGGCTTTTATCGACGGCCCTTCGCCAGTCAGTGTGCACTGCTGCCTGTTTTTGGCAGCCTGGCGTGGTTCCCTGGTCCCAGCACAAGTCAGCTGCAGTTCTGCTCTTTGTGCCGCTCTTTAATTTACCGGGATATGTAGATTGTATTATGCAAACAGTGGTTGTGGGTTCTGTTGTTGTTGTTGTTGTTTTTTTTTTTCTTTTTTTTCCCCTGACCGTGAACACAAATTTGTAGGAGGAGATGACTCTGTATATTAAACCAATAGCTCTTTGAATTGTGCGTAGTATAATTTAAATATCCTTACTTTAATTAGTAGGAGCTTACAAAAGCCAGCATTGTCTGGGGCTGTTTAATTTACATCTCGGCCTCTGTCAATGAGCACAACCTGCCTGAACAGAACGGCGTATTCTGCGCAGCCGGCAGGGTGGAAGGCGTTACTTTGTTTGTGTTCCTTCCAACAGCTGGTCATTAATGCAGGCCCCATCTCCAGAGTGAAGTGCTGGTGGACATGAATGGCCGCCTGATTAATGCTGCCCCTCGACGGCTCCTTCCTCCAGCAGCGATGCTCGCAGCAGAATAATGCAGTGTGATTTGATTGCGCTCTAACAGGGCAGTATGTCATTGTGTCACCGAGCAATTGAGGTTATTATGGGGCAGGGCAGACAGACGGGACAGTGGGGTTACTAGACCGTGGCATTTTTAGAAATGCAGGCCTGACCTACTTAGAGTTATTCTTGCTGGCTGGCAGCTGCATGGTGCATGGCTTGTCCTGATAGGCTGAGGCTGTTGCTAGGGGGAATTAGCATGAATTTTTCCACATACAGACTCGGTGATTGAATGATAAAAGCTGACTGGAATTAAAGAGATTCGGTTCAGTATTATGCAGATTTATCTCCCTTGTTTTTTTTTGTTTTTTCTCTCTCTCTCAAATGCATAAAAAGGAGCAGAAGACAGTTTGTTTCCATTCATTTTTGACCTATTTTTTTTTTTCCAGAGGAGGGCAGAAGCACTGTGAATTTTTGATCATTTACTATTTAAGTCGTTGAAATGGTATGACAGTGGGCATGCATCTTTAATGTGTAGGAGATTCAAATTCCTTCTCTGCAGAAGGGAATGAAATGAATATAGTTTATACTGTTTTGGTTTTTTTTTTCTATTTGAAGCTAAGTCAGATTCTCTCATCTGGAAAGGGGAAACGTACAGCAGGTTTTCTTGCATAACATCACTCTTGGCTATTTTTAGCTACCTGCACTTCACAAAATTAGTCCTGTGTTCGTGCTGCTGGATGAAACGAATCCCCAGACTGTGCCTCCTGTATGCAGAGACGTGCACCCAGGATGTGCCGAAGTGTGCCGTGTTCATCTGAAAAGATGCGCACACACTGCGGGCATAGCAGCTCTGCCTGCTGGCAGAGAGCTGACGACTGGCCTTTAAGCTGATTGATTAGATAACCTCGTGTGCATTTTGAAGTATTTTTTCCAGCTTCAGTTTGAAGTTGAGATTCTCTAGCCCTGTTTTATTTACCTACATCTGCTTAAAGCAGTCATGGTTTTTTTCAGAGAATTCAGCGTTCCCTCTGGAAGCAAATAAAAACAATACTCAGGGAAGACTTCTTTGATGTAATTATGAATATTTCCTTTGTTATTATCACTAATTATAAGATGTCTTCGTCCAAACCGCAGTGCCCCCTGTGTGATCCTTTACCATGCAGAGGAGTTACAGTTTAGTGCTTATGATCTTAAAACGGTTTTCATGGCAACACCTCCTGACGTCACATTCAAAGAATTGTGACTTTTCAGTAGCTGGGAATGGGGGAGAGGGACTCTGAAGTCTTTGTATTTGCCAAATGAGTGCGTGACTCATTGCTGAAAAGTGTGAGCTCATTCAAGTTTCATGTGAAATACCTGGGTGAATGAGACACTTCTCAGAGCAGTGTCTGTCTGGATGGGCAGAATTACCCCTGGAGTTTCCTGGCCCCCGCTACAGCCCATGGAGTTTCTCTGGAGGGTTTGAAGGTGAAGCAGTTAAACACGGAGACATACATCAGAACGCATTTTGTGGCCTTGGCAAAAGCATTTGTTTTATACAGATTTGAATTTCCTGTGTCTCTTTTCCTGTTCATCATTTACTACTGAAGCACATAGCTCTTTCTTCCTGACAGCGTTGTGGACTGACAGACCTGTGGAGAGATGAAAGTGAAGAGAGACATTGGAAACCCCCAGGTTTCTCCTCCTGTCTGTGTTCTTGCCATCTGTCCAGATGTAACTCTAGAAAGTGTAACTGTGATGCAGGTCCTGCTTCCCACAGCGGGAACAACTCCTCCCAGTGTTCTTCTGATCAAAGCCCTATTTCTTGATCTGCTTTCTTGTGGGATGCTGTCGGTGGCTTTGGCTTTGCACCTAGGCTACCATTTTTACTTTGGTATGTCTTCCAAACCTCCCTTGATGCTGTGTTTTCTGCTGTTTCCCCTCATGCTCCCACTTGCATTCCATGTGATAAATAAACCTGTTGTAGTGATGAGAGAGAAGGATCAGGTCATGGAGAAGTTTGCTTTTGGGAGGGTAGGCAATGGACAGGCTTTGCGTGCAATTGTCTGTTAAAGTTCTCACCCTCACTGGATGTAGGCAGGCATCACCCAGTTGATTTGCAACATCAGCTAACTTGGACTTCAGCAAACGAAAACTACCATGCAATATTACATTCATTTCAGCAGAAACCTGAACCAGAAATTTTTAGAAAAATGAGATGAGCGTCATCTTATTTTGGCATATTCATGCTAAGAAAGAGCCCAGAGGAAGGCAAGAAACAATATTAAGCATGTACTCTATGGAAAAGAATTATATCCCTGATATTTGTTTGGGATTTCAGCACAGTGAATGTTTATAACAAACATCAAGTCAGTCAGTTTGAACAAACTGTCAAGTGACATATTAAATATGAAAAATGCAGTGCACCAGAAATTGTACTCAACATTAGGTTGCTATTCTGCAAGTCTCCTTAATGGAAATTATTCCAAATAAATTAATGTGTGAATTGTCTGCTCGTAATGCCTGGGATAATTATAAGTAGCAGAAATGTGGAGTTAATGAAACAGAAACAAAATCTAGCTCTCTATGTATGTGTTTATAAAGCATAAGAATCGGGGCACCAGAGGAGTTTGAAATGTATGTCTGTTGAAAATACAGTCAATTGTGTACATTCCTTTGAAAAACATGTTAAGAATTTTCTGATTGTCTCCTCTGAGGTTTCTATTGTAGTAACAACTCGCACCTCCCACCCTGAAGTTGCTTACCTACAAAAGACTGTGTTGCATTGTTCAGCATTCTTGTACCATGACCTCTCCCGTGAGCTGTGAAAGATCTATTGTGCTGCGTTTCATGCTCTAGGGTGGCTAAGCAAGTGCTGATTTACAAGTAGCATATGCAGACAATTTTTTCTTCCAGTCGAGGATCCAAAATGCTGTCACTGTTTGAGTTGGCTGTGGTGGTCAGTGTATTCTTCACCCTTGGCTGGTTGTGCACTTTGTGCGTTTTGTGATGTCATTGCAGCTTTCTGGTTTTCTGGAAAGGAGCAGAGGATGCAGGATATAGAATGGCTAGATTCCCATGAAGGGATAATGGCAGAGAAGAGTGAGCTCACTCCCAGCCTTCACCTCCTGCCAGGACCATAAAGATCAGTTTTTCTGCAGCAAATTTGTTTTGGTTCCAATTTCAAACCCAAAGTAGGAGGAAGCGTATTATATTTCTTAAAAAGTGGCAGTTGGCACATTCCTTCTACTGCAATACAGGAGGGAATACAAATGTTTTACAAATTAAAATAATCCTTACATTATTTTTTTTCCTGTGATCCACTAAGATGGAAACAAACTCTGTAACATTACCTTCAGCCAGGAGCAGCATTATTGTGGCTCCCACATTCATATTTTTCCTGCCTGTGTGCACCTATATACTCAGAAATACTGTATACATACTGTGTGTACGTGTGTATAAAACACACAGACAATTTACACAGGTGCAGTACCGGAGCAGACATTATAGTGTATAATCACAGTTGCCTCAGATTAATACCAGAACTGTGCTTCCAGGTGTTTGGTGCTGGCTTGTTGATGGTAAAAGCATCTTGTCGTACAATTCATGCCATTTCAACACAGAGCATAACCATCACATTAATCCTGTCATCCCATTCACCACCACCACCAACAAATGATGCTGTGTAATAGAAAGATAACAAAAAGGGGAAATTAGTTGTGGTGGAAATTAGTGTGTAACTAGGTAGATGGATTTTGTAACCACTTTTTAATTTTTGCAGTCACGAGTGATGTAAAATGAAATGCTTGATGGCTGTTTAAGACAGAGAGACAAATTTTTTTCTTACTGTTAATTCTTCCCTCCTGCTTTTTGGTCACACCTGCTTCAAAAATTAATCCATACTTAAATCTTGACAGAGATCACGACCCTACTTCAACCAATGGCTGTTTTATCTTGGCATTAGTGGGACCAGGAATCTGGTCTTCGTATTTTAAGCTGAACATATCTTTTTCTCTCTTTTCACTCAAAGTGTAGTATTTCTATTTTTAAGTTTTCTTTCTTCTCTTCTTCTGAACATTCTTTGAACACTTAAATCTTTAAGCAGTGCATCATAAATTTGCCCTTGAGAATGAGAAAATAGGAGGAAATAACACTTCCCTACTCAGTAGATAAGGTTGCATTGGGGTTAGTCTTCATAGCTATGTGTTTTCATATACTTCTGTTTTCATCATAAAATATCTTTTGTTCTGATGAAATGAAACAGCAAGTGAAACAAAAAGAAAAAAAAAAAAAAAGAATGAATCCAGGCTGTAACAGTCTGTGGAAACTCAGGGAATAAGGTGGTTATGTCTTGACCTACAAAGATTGGGCCCAGAAGTGCAGAGGCAGAAAAAAAACCCCAGTCTTTAAAAGGAAATGCTTTCTAGCTCTCTGGTGACCTATTCTGTTATCATCATTGAAGTTAACAATGGATTCCTTCCTTTTTTTTTTTTTTTTTTTAACTTTGATGTTACGTAAATAAAACACTGATATCCACATCCAACAAAAATATTAATTTGGAGGTAGGTATGCCACAGTTGTGTCTAGAGTTTGCTGTGTTTTTGTTATAAGCCCAACAGACACAGTAATTAGGCTTTTCCTAATTCCTTTTTCCTAAGGTAAAAAATGTTTGGATACCTTTAGGTTGAAAGCATTTGAAAAATGGCAGCTAGTGGATGACTGTTGGTGATAGATTTTCTCCTTTGTTCTGCTTCTTGGAGAACCCAGGCTGAGCAGAGGAGGACGCATTGTGCTGCAAACTTGGTTTGGTGAGGGTTGAAACATGGCTGATGAATCTTTGTGTAAATCTCCTGTGCATGACCTGTAATAATGGCAGTATATTATGGCTCTGACTTACAGTTCTTGCATGCATGCACAAGAATACATGCACACCATTTCAGCTGAACTGAATTGTTAGTGAAGTCATCTCCACCTAGCTGAATTGTTAGGTGCTATGCTTATTATTCCTTTGAAACTCAAACCTGCAGTTCTTTATAACTCACTGGTGAGACCTCAAGCTCCAAAGACTGGTAAGTTTGTGTCCCTTTCCCTTTAGCTTTGGCTTAACTCCATGCACGTTAGCTTTATGTACCCATTCTTTTTGCGGGGGAGCAGAGATTTTGGTGCATATCAGTGCCTTATTTGCTCCACTACAGTCAAGTTTCTCCATGAGTAGCAAGTATTTTCTGTTAACAGCCAGTGAATAGCACACTTGTCTTGCAGTTGGACTTGTCTCAGATTTCCTGGCATTACACTGACTATTCCTAATATTTATGTGGTACGGGAGAGACGCTTGCAAGTATCTAACAAATAAATAGCCTCCCATGGTGTCTCTGTTTGTAGTGTCAGTTCGTATTTAGTACGTTAGCTGAACATGAGAACAAAATGGAAGATACGAATACTAAGCACTGCCTTCCAAAATATTTTCCCCTGTTTTATTAGACTAATCTTATTTCTTTTAGAAGAAACAAGTAAATGGCACGCCGAGGGGCCCAAGCAGGCAGGTGATATTTGATTTCACAAAGCAGATTCTCATGTTATGACGCATTCACAAGGAGCAGGATGGGAAAATAGTGCTGTGCAGAATAACTTGCTTGTCTGTTTTCAAACGGAGTAGATCATCTGAAATCTAAGCCATGGGACCAAGTGAAAGCTGAGACTGGTGGATTGGTTGGAGAGTTGATGCTAGCCGGGGCATGACACCTGCTTGTCCAGTTCTCCAAAGGGATTTTCCAAAGTTTTAAATGTTGCCTTCTTTGCTCAATCACATTTACGCTGTTTTCAGTTCGATGGTGTTTGTAAGGAGAGGTAAAGAGGTAATACCCTGTATTCAAACCACCTCTCCCCCTTGACTTTTTGGTAGCCTTAGGCAGTCCTGGCTCCCTCGTGTTCTATGATTGTTGTTGACTCTAATGGTAGTTCAGAGCATGCAAAATAATCAGGAGTCAGACAGGATTTTGGAGCAACAGTGTTCCATAGTTTAAGATTTCTATATGGGTCAATCATTTCTAATACACAGAAACCTAGAAGAAATCTCAGGTAATGAATTTTTGGCTGCATAATGATGGAGACCAATAAAATCAGTTATACTCGAGGCTTGTTGCAATTGCTGGCTTGCAACACTGCAAATCACGATGGTAGGAGACAAAACAGAAAAAAAAGAACACTGATTTTCAGGGAGAAAAATTACTAAGAATGGTGTCATGTTTGTTTCACCCTTAATGAGTCAGCTCAAAGATCCCCTGTATGTTTATGATGCATACCAGTATTCACTGGTATTTATTTTAATACCTTTTATTACCAAAACTTCTTTTGTGCCTTGAACTTCATGCTGTAGACTGAAAAGTGGACTTATGCAGCCAGAATGCTGAACATGTGCCTCTTGAAAAATGTTTATGTTTTGAGATGGTATCCCTGTACACTTTGACATACTAGCAGATCTGGTAAGCTCTGAGTGAAAATAGCATCATCTGGTGCTAGTACATGAGGAACTGGTATGTTATAGAAGAGAAGTCATTCCATAATATTCGTAATATTTTGGTGGCTATGGTTGCTTAGATGAATGAATCATACTTCAGTGAAACAAACTGAGCATAGTTAGAAATGGAAATTCAGTAATAAATGTCCCTGTGGAACATAGACTGCCCACAAAAGCATTTTATTGTTTAATTCACAGGGTGAAAGGATACATTTGTTTTCAAATATACTTGTTAGTTGTAAAAGCTTGGGACAAAGAAGTTGGTTTTTTTGGTGATAAGTGCTATAATCTTTCATACACATTCATTGTGCTTTAAGCCCCAAGGTTAGAATTCAGAACCTGGCAATTCCTATAAGAATGAGAAACTGATGATAGAAATGAAATGCATTTTTTGGGCAGTTTTGCAGCCATGTGCTTTATTTCACAGAGCAAGTATGCAATTCTACTTTGACAAACGCAGGCAAAAGTCATTGGAGCTTTTCTTTCTTTCCCCCTCCTCCCCCACCCCTTTCTTTCCCTTTTTCTCTTTTTTTTTTTCTTTCTTTCTTCTTTATCCGGAAATATTCCAAATGATTATACCTGCAAGTAACATTCAAAAAAGCTTCATCCTCCCACTGTCAATACACAACATTCCTCTGCTCTCACACTCCCTTTACTTGCATTTTCCTAGATTATCTTTCTCTATTTGTCTACAATTAGAAAAACAAAACAACAACAAAACCAACAACAAAACACCCTCTGTTCATCCGTTTGATTCAGCTCTACACAGTCCCCAAGCATTTGGTTCTGCATAGACTCCAACATCTTGGACTGTCACTCCTGTTGTGTGCTGATGTTTTAAACACCTGGTTGCCCCTGTTTTTGAGCCATAAAGACTTAATGTATGTGCCTGCTTCCATGAAACCTGTGAAGACTGTTTCTTGATTCTAGATGATACCCATGCCTTCCTCATACCCAATAGAGTTTGCATCATATCCATACACACACATACCCATATTTTAGAAACGATGGAGTGGCTTTTTGTCACTGCTTAATCCTCTGTCAAAGAAAATACAGTGTTTTTCTGTGAGCTGGATGGACATCAGAGCCTCTTCTCTTTCTTTGGGTCCCACTGCTTTGAAACATTTTTGAAGAGATGAAAAGGGTGTAGTTGTAGCTTTAAAACCATGAACTTTGCACATCACTGCAATAAATGGTTCTCCTTTTTATTCTGCGGTCCAGGTTGAGATAATACACAGAAGTAAAAAAAAAATCTGGATGTCTTCTAATTTATTGTCTCCTGACTTTTTTTCCTCCCTTTAATTTATTTTTGGAGTCTGGGAAGAAAAGCACGCCAAAAAGGCCCAGTGTATTGATGTGTGAAATTGAAGGAGTTGATGATTCTTATGATCCAGACACCATCTCCTTTGACAGGGTTAACATAAAAAGAAACATACTGGAAAACACACGCTTAAATATGAAGAATTCCTTAAATTCAGGGTGTGTTCATACAAAGTGAAATTTTTACAGTGTGGAAAGCATTAAACCTGATCCAGAAAAAACGTTAGGTGCCCCAGCCATTGAGATGTGAATCTCTTTAATCCACGCAAGCATTAGAAAAATCTGAAACACGTGAAAGTTCAAAAGCTGCAAAGCCATTACATGACTCCTTATTCATTTCTCAAATATTGTGACTTTCTATTGAACTGTGAAAAGGCTTCTTCTTGTATTTTTTTTTTTCCCTTTTCCTAAGCAATATATCAGTCACTCACTAATGTGTTATTCCACATTGTGAAGCTGAAAGTAAGTTTTGTTTGGTTGTGCCTACTTGGGTATAAATCTTTGATTTATTTCAGAGCATTCATGTAGCATTTCAGAACTTGGTCACTTGCACCATTTCGACATTTGCTGCTGAAGAAGGGGAAAAGGCAAGAATTAGTAGAATGTCAATGTTTTTTTAAAGATGTCTTAGACTGTTTTTTTTTTTAGATTTTTTAAACTGTTTGCTCAAATGCAGTACTTGAGATAGAGTTGCTGAGAGACAAGCTAGAGAGCGCTGTTACGGTGCAGTGTCTGAAAAATGTCTCTTTATGTAGGGCAACAAAATTAAGGGAGAGCAGAAGGTTTCACATTGGTTTGTCACCTGAAAATGGAACTTATTTTTATCAGTGAAACTCCTGTGAGAAGACCATGTAGTGACAGCCATTGGAGCTCTTTTTTTTTTTAAATGATAGCAACTGCAGAATCTGATGGAGACTTCTCATGTTTCTCCTCCTCCCCACACTCCACACCCCTTCCCACCCCCCTCCCCCCAAAAAAGTTTTAAAAAGACAGAGAGGCCTGTTTTCTACATGAAAATAGCTGTCAACCTGAATTTCACTGACTTGCCAGAAGACGTATCAAAGAGTGGAGGTAGTCAGCTAATTTCTGGGTCTCCTGAGAAGAACACGCTCTCAAGTGATGGACATCATTTAGAGTTTGTAACCTAAAGAAAACAAATGACTCAAACCTCTGCCGAGGCCCAAAGAGCTTAAAGGTAAATATAAGATAAAGACTAGTTGTAGTCATGCTGTCCTCTGCTGCCAAGGCGTCGCAGCAAAACAAAGGCTTATTGATCAAAAAGGTCATGGAAGAGAAGATAGGGCTTAAAGAAACTGGATTAAATTTTCTTTTTAAGAGTTGAATGCAAAAATAGTAACCCAAAGATGGAGTTCTGTGTGCCAGGCATTTCTCACATGCATTCTTTTATTTGTCTGCACAAATAAAGTGAATATCTATAATTCTCTCGTTTCATAGAATGACTTCCAACCATAGTCTCCAGAGTCTTGAAATAGCAGATGTGTCCCTCGGATTTAAACAGAGAATGTGACAACAGAAAATACAGTACTGTGCTTGATGCTGTTGTGCTCTTCATGCCTTGTAGGGATGTGGAAGGCTACTGATCTGCTACTGTGATACG